TACTTGACTAGCTCGTTAATCAAAGATGGTTATGTTTCCTAACCATAGATAAAGAGTTGTTATTTGATTAACGGGATCACATCATTAGTTGAATGATCTGATTGACATGACCCATTCCATTAGCTTGGCACCCGATCGTTTAGTATGTTGCTATTGCTTTCTTCATGACTTATACATGTTCCTATGACTATGAGATTATGCAACTCCCGTTTACCGGAGGAACACTTTGTGTGCTACCAAATGTCACAACGTAACTGGGTGATTATAAAGGAGCTCTACAGGTGTCTCCAAAGGTACATGTTGGGTTGGCGTATTTCGAGATTAGGATTTGTCACTCCGTTTGACGGAGAGGTATCTCTGGGCCCTCTCGGTAATACACATCACATAAGCCTTGCAAGCATTGCAACTAATGTGTTAGTTGTGAGATGATGTATTACCGAACGAGTAAAGAGACTTGCCGGTAACGAGATTGAACTAGGTATTGGATACCGACGATCGAATCTCGGGCAAGTAACATACCAATGACAAAGGGAACAACGTATGTAGTTATGCGGTCTGACCGATAAAGATCTTCGTAGAATATGTAGGAGCCAATATGGGCATCCAGTCCCGCTATTGGTTATTGACCGGAGACGTGTCTCGGTCATGTCTACATTGTTCTCGAACCGTAGGGTCCGCACGCTTAAAGTTACGATGACAGTTTCATTATGAGTTTATGTATTTTGATGTACCGAAGGTTGTTCGGAGTCCCGGATGTGATCACGGACATGACGAGGAGTCTCAAAATGGTCGAGACATAAAGATTGATATATTGGACGGCTATATTCGGACACCGGAAATGTTCCGGGGAAGTTTCGGATAAAACCGGAGAACCGGGGGGTTACCGGAACCCCCCGGGGGGTTAATGGGCCTCATGGGCCTAAAGTGGAGAAGACGAAATTGGACAAGGAGGGAGGGGCGGCGCCCCCCCCCCCTTTCCTCCCTCTCCTCTCTCCCTTCCTTCCCCCTCTCCTACTTGGACAAGGAAAGGGAGGGGAGTCCTACTCCCGGTAGGAGTAGGACTCCTCCTGCGCGCCTCCTACTAGGGCCGGCCGCACCCCCCCTTGGCTCCTTTATATACGGGGGCAAGGGGGCACCCTAGGACACACAAGTTGATCTTCGTGATCGTTCCTTAGCCGTGTGCGGTGCCCCCTTCCACGATATTACACCTCGATCATATTGTAGCGGTGCTTAGGCGAAGCCCTGCGACGGTTAAACATCAAGATCGTCACCACGCCGTCGTGCTGACGAAACTCCTCCCCGAAGCTTTGCTGGATCGGAGCCCGGGGTGCGTCATCGAGATGTACGTGTGTCAAGAACTCGGAGGAGCCGGAGTAACGGTGCTTAGATCGGTTGGACCGGGAAGACGTACGACTACTTCCTCTACGTTGCGTCAACGCTTCCGCTTCGGTCTACGAGGGTACGTAGACAACACTCTCCCCTCTCGTTGCTATGCATCACCATGATCTTGCGTGTGCGTTGGAAATTTTTTGAAATTACTACGTTCCCCAACAGCATGTTGTTCAACCCATGTTGTCGTTTATCCTCCTGCCCACCTTAAATGAGAGAAGTCATGATGTTCACTTGCTCATAATGCATCCGAATGTGGTCAATCCCAAAGGAATGATCTTAGCCACCGCATGACAAAGTTGTCGTTGAACCGCGTCAACGCAATAGTATGTTTAAAACTTTTGAAACCAATCTCATCTATTTGGATGTGAGGACCACCCTCGACGAGCTACACTCTGCACCTGGTTCATACACATCCCTCATACCCCGACTCGCTTTCAAATCAATTTTTTTAAATGAATAAATATTATTTTTAAAAGGCGTCAACACTGTTTAAATTGTGTGGCTTTAAAAAAATGCTTGAATACTTTTTAAATTACCAGTGAATTCACTATCGGGCAGGTTTGATCCACAAAATATCCGAACTCCACTTGTGAGTAAATAAAAGTTGTTGTCACTACCACAGGGATTGGTCCTACATCGATGCACTTCTTTTTCACTTTTCTAATAGAAAAGCTCATTCATCTATCTTGTTTGAAAAAAATAACCCTACGAAATGAAGTAGTGGCCTAAAAACTGGTATATATGTTTTATGCTTACAGAACTGGTGAGTTGCTAACTTCCCTTCGATATCTAATTTCTAGGCACACTAAAAGCATGTGCTAGTTTGCTTGATGGCCTTGCATTTTCTGAGTTCATCAGTGAACGGATTTGGTGGGTTGGCCAGCATTTGTGGAGAAATAAAAGGTCCCACTTGGTGAAGAAACTCAGACTAAAAAGGCAACCAAGGAAAATAAAACAAACTCTTGTTGTGCACATGGATTAAGAGTCATATAGTCGAGTAGATCATCGGGGTGCCGAACTCAAAGGCAGTGAGTACACAGAGATTTGGTTTGTACTGGACGCGCACGACGCTCAGCAAGTGGGCCCGCGATCTCTAGCTACACCCTCTTTCACTATTTAGCAGGCTCAAATGTGTTTTTAGATCTATCATTTGATCATCGATTTGACACGGATTATATGTCATGCAAGTTATACCATTGAATTTGTGTTCGACCACATTAGTTTGGAACACATGATTGGTCAAATAAGATTAAATTAAACACGAAAAAGAAGGACGCCACATACGTTGAGACGAACGGAGTACATAACTCTTTTGAAAAGAAAAAAAAAGAGGGAGTACATAACATTCTTAAAAGCAAATGACCCTGAAGCCTAAGCAACAACGTCATATATTATACAAAATTGTCGTCCACCACAACATTATCAGACCGGCAAACTGAGAAAGACGACCCGCGCCACGCATCGGCTCTGCGGAATGCCCAAACAAATGGCCCCACACGCACTTCCATGGTCGCCGCCGCCGGCTGGCGCGCCCTGTAGTTGTAGGCACGCACCCCGGGCGAACAGCCGGAAGAAATCAACGTGTGCTCATACTCCTTCACCTCCGTCGAGCGAGCACCGCACAAGTGCCGCAACAGAGCGGCGAAGAAGACCACAGCAATGAAGACGGCGATGAAAATCGTGGTTGCACTAGCATCGACGGAGCTGATATACGCCATGGAAATGGAATGGAGGACGATAAGGCGAGGACGTACGGTAAGTGCCCAGCTTCACCAACTGGGGCTAGTTAGTGCATATGATTGTACTGTGATTATGAGCTACTTATGGAATGTGTGGCGATGTTTCCAAGACGTGGTATGGTCGAAGCGACAAAGAAATGGCTTTGGTCTCTCCGTTTCTTGTCAGCAGATAGCAAAGTTGATCATACATTCGATTTTTTAAAACGCAGGAAAGACGTGGGAAAATCATCCGGCTTAAATAAAAATCATCCAGTTTGCATGAAATTCATCTGTTCTGCTCATGTTTTGAATGTTTGCGGACAAATACACTGTTTGTATTAGGGGACCACGTTGGAGATGACCTAAGCTATCAGTCAGCAACATTTTATCTTCAAATCCTGGCCCATTGATGGATTCATTAATTCAAATTGGGGCTTAGTACGAGTTCATGCAGGGCCGGCAACGTGCACTTAATTCACCTCTGTACAAGTTCATGCACGGCCGGTCTAATTTTTTTTTACTTTGTACAAGTTCATGCACGGCCGGCAACGTGCACTTCGCCTCTGTTGTCTATCATGTGCAACATGCCCATCAAGGCCGGCCGGCCATTACTTTTAATTTATCCCAGACTGCAAAGGTGCCGGCCTCTCTCTCCCTTCCAGTATGCATGCCCATCAGCATCAGGGACTCCTATGACCCAATGTATTTAAGGTTAATTATAATCCTTGGGACAGAAACTGAAACATTACACTGACTAAATGACCAATGGTCATACCAGGTTTTTGAAACTATCAAGTCTTGCCGATATATATTACATGTACTAATGGACCTTTTAACAACCAAAATTTCTATAGTTCAATCTAGTTTTATAGTTGCAATTTTTACCGGAGTAGACAAAGTAAAAATGTCTCTAGGCCACACTAAACAAGATGGCTAGGATTCCCTGCAAATAGTACACTTTTGGTGAGATTAATGTGATCAACTAACTTATGAGTACTCTAAC